GATACCAAAACATAGAGAAACATAACCAAAATCAACGGTAACGACGAAGAGAAAGAGTGTTGTTCCTCTTCCAGGTTGCTCTGCGAGAAGGCCTGGCCTTGTGGTGCAAGTGTCCTTTTCCACGGAGTCCCCTGTATTTCTTGCCAGCGGATGTAAGCCCTCGGAGCTCCCTGTGCTTGTGGACTGGATTGCAGATCCAGTTGATTCTTGGGTCATTGCGAACAGCATTGTGGGCAACATCAACCAATATCACCTCATAGTACTTGTAAGTAGAATCCTGTTTCAGTGTCAAGAACAGTCAGAATAGAGGTAGGGGGAAAGAGAGAATGAGAACCAAGAACATCTTATATTAAGGTCTCATCTTAAAAGTACTCCTAAACTTGGGTCAATACGAGAAGATAGAAAGGAGGTATGGTATAATCAATGACCTCGTTGATCCAGTATGAATTGAGAACCCTCAGACCACCCAACTTTCGTCCTGCTCGTTCTTCTGCAACTGATCTCTTGCTACGCTGGAACTTCAATTGGGTAACACCCTGGTTGGTTGGTTTTCCATACACAATACCCTTGGGAACTGGCCTCTTCCTACCACCACGCCTCACACGGACTCTGTAAACAACATAACCCTGCAACCAATTTCTTAAGTAACCATTTGAGGATGAAGAGTAAATATCTTTACAATGCCAAAAAAAAAAAAAATTAATAAATAAACAAAGCACAACCCAAAGGATATTTCATTGGTAAATATGGTTGATTACAACATAATCATATTTTCAAGAACATTCTAAACCCTATCAAAATTATGGCACATGCAGACAACCAAGTTAGACCGATAAAATGCAAAGTTTATCTGTAACTTCAAAACAATTAACCATGGGAATAAAACATATAGAATAACTAACAAATGATGAACTGTATCGACCTCGACAAAAGCAAGATTCAGAGGAAGAGAATTCGCTTGGTTGGGTGACCGAGATTGAGTTCAATTTAGCCAGTCTCAGGATGTATCCAATCATTGTACGAAAATCCAGAGTGAAGTAAGCGCATAAGGATACCGCTTATCCAACTCAGACGACCTTAGTAACTTGATAACCGAAAACATGCTACTCAAATCACCTAGGGAGACCTCTGCTAGTCACTCTAAAGCGTAGTACAACAGAAATAGTACGCACGTTTGAGAAACCAATCATCAAGTGAAGACCTCAAAAATAAATTTCAAAACGGTAATGCTTGTATGAATCTGCACTCGAAACTGAATCTCAAAATGATCAAAGATTTTTTTTTTTTTTTAACCTGCTTGGCCTTGTAGCCGAGACGGCGAGCCTTATCAGGGCGAGTGGGGTGATTGACGCGGACAATGGATGGATGCTGGCGATACTCCCAGCATCTCACCCTCTGTAGGAACCTCATCACATCTGACTGCTTCTTCCTCCATAGCTCCGACACGTACTTGTACGCCCCTATTTTCCAAATCCCAAAGTTTAATCAAACTCAAATACGACAATCTAAACTTCTCCATAAACAAAAACTGAGATATTTCGACTGCGTTAAAGATAATAAATACAAGCAGCTAGAACATTGATTCGAAAACATGGGACAAAGTCGTCATACAAAACGGAAATTGCAATAAAAAGGAGAATTGTTCAAATGTGTTGAAAAAAAACCTAGTGAGAGAGAGAGAGAGTACCCATTGGATCGGAAAGAGAACTTGCAGGGAGGAGTCACCAACTAGGGTTTTCGCCCGGAGAACCCTAGTTTATATAAAGAGCGATTTTTCTCATGTTTCGGATCTGGGCCGTCCATTCCGCTTTTAAACGACGTCGTTACTTCTCAGAGAAAACGCATATTGGGTTTCGATTGTTGGGCCGAATTTCTCCTAATCGGCTCGTTTACATTGACTTTGGGTTCATTGGGCTTTGCCATATATTTTGAGCCCACATTGCTCGCTGTATTCGTGCTCATGCAGCCCAAACATCAAAAAATCATAGCGATCAGTAGCAATCAAGAAATAAACTAAGTTTTAAGTTTTATTAAAATTAAAGATTTGAAAATATGTATATTAAAATGAATTAAAACCAGAGTAAATGATATTTAAACTAATAAAAAAATTAAAAAAAAATTGGTTTTTTATTCAAAATACAAGTGGTGGCATTTTATACAAAGTATAAATAATAATAATAATAATAATAATTAAAAAAAAAGTGGCATTTTATTTAAAAAAAAGTTAGACAGAAAACACCAAAAGGACCCCCTCGCATTCTCTTGGCAAGAAATGACAATGGCGGCTTCACTGTATCTATCTCAAAGCCCTATCGCCACTGCCACCCGTCGATCTTCACCCTTCATTTCCCTTCTCCCTCCTCAATCCATCAAATTCCCCTCTTTCCACTGCCATACCCTCAAAGATCTTTCAATCACCGCCTCCCACGCATCGCAGCGTGCTGCAACCATCATCCCACGAGCAGCCGCCACACCGTCATCCGCCGCTTCTTCAACCACCGTATTTCACGGCAGCTGCTATGTCGTCGGAGACAACATCGACACTGACCAGATTATTCCGGCTGAGTATCTTACTTTGGTCCCCTCAAATCCTAGCGAGTATGAGAAGCTCGGATCCTACGCCCTAATTGGCCTTCCTTCCTCTTATTCCACCCGCTTCGTGGAACCTAACGAGATGAAAACCAAATATTCCATCATAATTGCCGGCGACAACTTCGGCTGCGGTTCTTCACGGGAGCACGCGCCGGTTGCGTTGGGAGCGTCCGGTGCGGTGGCTGTGGTTGCTGAGTCGTACGCCCGTATTTTCTTCCGGAACTCGGTGTCGACCGGAGAGATTTATCCATTGGAATCGGAAATAAGGATCTGCGATGAATGTAAGACTGGCGATGTGTTGACAATCGAGCTGGCAGAAAGCCGCTTGATCAACCACACGACGGGAAAAGAATACAAGCTCAAGCCTATTGGGGATGCAGGTCCTGTCATTGAGGCTGGTGGGATTTTCGCATATGCTAGGAAATCTGGTATGATTCCAAGCCTAACGCCGTCAAGTTGAATTTAAGTTCTGGGGGTCGTGGGAAGTAATTGTTGTTTTGCTTGTTAGAGTAATTTATTTGCTTGCTAATGAGCTTGGAATTCTGTGGAAGTGTCTGTCTTGGCCAAGTGTTTTAATGAAATAATAACGCGGACTGAATAGATCCGCCATATCTAGGAAGCAAAAATGGTTATTCTCTGAATTGAAGCAGGTTTTATGTCAGCATTTGATTACAAATTCTGGAAAGTTTGATTTTGAGATGTTATAATTTTCAGTATTTGCTTCTCTTTCAAAGTTATAATTTGATTCTACTTTGTGGAAAGCTTGTCAATTTTATTCTTGCTGTGGGCTATATTCACATTCCCAATATTTGAGAGCACGCAGGAGGATTTGTACCCTTTTTTCGGTGTGGATGATTTGATGATCTCTTACTTTTAATCTTTGCGTGATTTCAATGTAAATGAAGTATTGACATTAAATTTTGGAACTAACCAGTCATAGGGCCCAATTAGTCGAGTGATTGACTGGCAGCCTCAACTCTAGCTAATAAATTTGGGGCAGAGTCTGAGGTAGTTGTAGTTCATATTCTCTATATGGATGGAAATATAGTTGTAAGATTTTCAAACCATTTATCAACAATGGTCTTGGCAAGGCAATGTAGCTACAACTTTTACTCTGCATCAAGTATCTTTTGGATTGATGTGGTTCGTCATATTGAATCATTTTGCTTTTTGGCAAAACTGGAGTTGTTTCTAATCATGAGCTTTGTGGTTCTGAACTTGTTTTAGAACTTGAGCTTCGTACTTATCTGCATTGGAGTTCTTAGAGCTATGGAATTTTAATTTTCTGCCATACTGCTAGTGCACTTTCTACCACCAATGGACTTCTCTCATCTGAGGTCCCTTATCGGGTAGAGAAATTGCCTTAAGGTCTGTACTCTGTTGAGTCAAGAACATTCTTCTCCTAACCTGGAACCAGTCTCCAATTACAGCTGAATGATTCTCTTGACATTCTGAAGGAATGGCATATATTATTATCTCCCGAGGTCTTATTCTGAGATAATGTGGTCCTATTGATGAGTTTTGTTAGTTATTTGTTACATCCATTCTTTAATGATAATGAAGAAGGTTAGCTGGTGAAAAGTTTTTTAGGAAGCTCGCTGCTGCCAATCTAGCCATGGGTTGTTTCTTTTGCTCAACAGAAAAACCCAAGTCAATGAAACCCCCCAAGTATTAAAGATATGAGATTACACTTCAGCGCCCAATTTCTTATTACAATGTTTTCGACTCAATTTCTTATTGTAACGTTCTCAACCATCTGATGAGTCCACCTAGTGGCTTCTATGAGGAAGACAGCACAAAGGAGGCTCGAGGGCTTGTTGCCGAAAGGCGTTTTTTGGTCTCCTAAGGCGTTGTGTGTGGTGTGTGCTACGACGAAACAATGGAATGAAAGGCTGTTGTTGGCATATTCTACGATATGTAGCATTCTGGTCTACAATATGTGGCATTCTGGAGTCGCAAGTTTGACATAGTTAAGTCGAGTTGAGTTTGTGACAGTGAGACAACCTTGTATCTTCCACCTTGACACAATTAGTTACAAATTTGTTAGATCATCTATTTTACATCAAGGTTCTCTTCAAATATTATTACTTTATTGAAAATTATACTACTTTTATAATTGCTTTCCTCAAAATAAAAATGTAATTGAATCATTAACCGAACGATCCTTATCGTCAACAAGCTATACCGATCCATCAGTAGTAGAAGTGGAGAAATGGGACTCCTGAATACTTCAAATTTAACTTCACTTGTTTCTTATCAATTCAGAAATCTCAGTTTTAGAAGTTACATTCAGAGAAAAAAAAAAGTCCTCGCACTTCTTACATCCTTCACCTAAGACAGGTACCAAAAAAAAATTAATGCATAGATAAATGATGCAAATCCCAAATTACAAATCTGACATTCATTCAAGTTGGGAAGATATCTGCAGGACTTCAATATATAAAATAAAATTCAATAATCAATAGAAAAAAAAAAAGAAAAAAAAAGGCTTTCCAATCAGAACTAAAGCTTTGTACCAATTTTGGGGTAGCTAAACACCCTGGGAGATTTAAGATCTAAAATCATACGTCTGTCAAGATTATTGAAGATAGAATCACAACATAAGCCAGAAAAAAGAAAAAGGCAAGCTGAACAAAGAACTTTGGATTTTCTCTCATATTTGGGGATGTAACGGCCCTACAAAATTTGGTACATTATCCAATAAGTTCAAAGCAAAAGGAGGAACCGATATCTTCCACAGCTTAAAAGAATTCCGATAGTAATTACCTCGCAATACGCTGAGAAAGTCGTTGAAATGGCAAACTCTGGATAAAGACCATGCCTGGTCCTGTTAATGTGGCTGTCACTAAGTTGTCACCCTGAAATTTAACAATACGGTTTGTTAAAAGATGACAGAAGTGTATTCCATACAGATACAGAGAATGCCTGGCTAAAGCTTAAGAATGAGTTTGAAATTGTTGGACAAAATTTCCTTCTTCATAACCAGAAGCTTCTGCTATTTTTATGATTTCTTTTGAAATAAAAAAAGATGAAAGAAAGTGGAGAAAGATGCCCACCCGAGAGAAACCCTCAAAGGTTATAGAAAAACCTCCCCAAAAAGTAGAGCTCTACCAAAGCTTGGTGTGTAATCATACATTGTATCTTTATTTCAAGCAAGGCATAACCTATAACGAGTTATCTTTTGCGTAGATAATAACCCATAAATCAAATAATTGCTTGGCCAACGAAGAGAAGACATGTAATGAGAAAAAACAAACTCCATAAACATAAAGGAATCTTACCCCAAATACTGTTCTTCTCACAGGACCATTGTATTTGATTTGGACATCAATGGTGGTGGTCATAGCCAGAATGCAGGAGATATCCACTGATAGTACTTCACCAACCTCGAGATTTTTCTGTACGACTAGCAAAACCCAAAAAGCTTTTATAATCAGCTAATTTATATCATACATTATTAATTTTATTTTTCATCTTTAAGATTGAAATAAATATATCAATATAAATAAGGTAATCTCCTTCTCTTTTCTAGGCATTGAGTATATCGTACTAAATTAATAACCATAAATCTCTGAAGAAAAAACAAACACCAGCAATTGAATTAATATTACAGAAGTTACTCCATCTACTTTAAGTGCGCTTACAATCTGAATCCAATGTAACCTATTGGCATAAAAGCATATGAGTCGGCACAATTTAAGGTCAGCAGTTGTGATGTGATTGACCTCATTACAAGTGTGGAAATAAATCTTAATAACAAAATGATACATGAGTTGCTCTAGCCAACAGGTGACATGAAAACTCAAAGAAGAAACTCAAGCTTCTTTTCAGTTTTCATAATTGCATAACAGAGGCAAACAAGTCCTTTGGAGAATTTGCTAAAATAAAATGAAGTGCATACCAGATCCACCTCCAAGAATGAAAGCGAGCCCTTGGCCTGATAACTTCTGTCTAAGAAACCCCTACAATAACATCCACGGTAGAAAGAGAGTGAGGAAAAGAAAAACAAAAAAAAAAAAAAAACATAGGGAAGAGCAAAAATTAATACCAGAAAGCAGAGATGCATGGAGCAGTTTAGCCAATAAGGAATAATAAATCAACTCACCTCCACACTTGTGGTAACATTGCGTACTCTGTGATAAGCTGTGTCAGTAACCTTAACATCATTAACAGAGCAAAGGAATGCATCTGGCTACGTAAGAAAAATGAAGCGAAAATTATCAGGCAACCGAGCTCAGAAGAAGACAAATTGAATAATTGAATTCAAGACAACTAAAATTTAAATGTGTGAAACATATACATTTAATCTCTTTCACATACAGTGAGAGGGAGAGGGAAGGGGACAACGGAAAATCAATTGTGAAGAAAAGTACCAAAAGAAGCTACTAGGCAGAATAAACAAAGTAACCAATATTCTCTACCTGGCATAGAAGCTCTCCACCAAACATTGCCATATCAATCTGCAACATAATTGTGGAAACATATATGACACTGAGGATATTGATGAGAGCACTTTTTTTTTCTTTTTTTCTTTTTTTCTTTTTTAATAATAATTATTATTATTTACCGGGAGAATCCTAGCAAGAGAAGGTGCAGCAACTCCAACATATCCATCACTTGTACCGGAATTCCGAAGAATGATGCTAGTGACACTCTTGCCAAATAGCCAATGCCAAACACCCACTTCATTTTCCGGGAGAAAAACATTTTCCATCTCAATAGACCCAGACATGAAGCACATGGAGCCTGCAAGAGTAAGTGTATCAGTTGCACATACAATTAACAGGTAACAAAGAAACAAGAAACCGTTCAGTTTCACCAATCAAGTAAAAGTCGATGAACCATATGAAAACCTCAGTTCTTCTCATAAACATAACTTCTTGAAATAAAGAAAGCTGTCATGACTACTATTGCAAGTTTCCTATGAGCATTGAGAATAAGTACAGTTGAAACAGCAGATAAAGAGCATTAACAAATCATCAAATTGCCAACGTTCTGTATATCTACTGCCGATGTATATTGACCAACACTATGAGGGAGAACTTGAATCACTTGCTATTCACAAACTATAAGGATTTGTTTTTACAAAACAATCATTTTATGCAAGTGTACACAGAGTGTTGATATTGTGTACAAATTAAAAGCACGTCGAACAAGTGTTGTAGGCATATTGCGGTTGATATCCGAAACATGTTAAAACATGAACTTGACCCAAGGGAAGTTTTATAAAAAATAGAAAAATTGTTTCTCTATGAAGAGATAGAAAGCAAGACGAGTGTATCCAAGTAAAGAAAAAAGTTTATTCTAACACAACTTACCAGGCCTTGCAATAACTTTCTCTTGTGGCTTCAGCATTATCTGCCAAAGCAAAATGAACAAGAAAACAAAGAGATACAGTACTAGAAGAAAGACAAAAACTATGAAAGTAGTTCACCATGATGCCACTATTTGACACATAACAACAGAAACAATATATTATATACCTGTACTACTTGGGCTTCACCACCCAAAATCTGAAAAGGTATCATTGCGTCTTGTGGACTCTACAACAAGACGTAGAACATACCACTGTTAGTAAAACAAAAGTAAGAAAGATCATACACTAGATTACAATTCAATAAAACTTAATGGGAACTATTAAAATTTAATCCTTCCAAATCTTCAAGAGAGAGAGAGAGAGTGAGAGAAAACAATTTAATTGATAAATGAAATAAAATGTGTTAAACACTCCTAGCTACCAAAAGGTGTATTCAAATCTTCAAATATTGTGGTGTTGAAAAAATCAATTCAAGGCGATCTCTAAGAGGGAGAGAAATCTTATGCTAATCCATTGATTTTCTTCTGCTTAGAAAATAGGATGGCATCCAATGCATGTGTGCCATTTTGACTGCTGAGCTGACTCAGAGTAGTTGTTGGCCTGTCATCAACCCATACCACTTATTTTAAGGCTTTTTGCCAGATCACAAACATGTATTCTTTAGTGTGCGAACTGTCATGTCTAAATTTTTTCTTTTAGTTGACGTCCAATATCCATAATTTTCACTTATGGCATTTATGCCAATGCCGATTGTGGAAGAGTAGGATGCCCGTTAGGCCAATGAACCTAGGTTCAACAACTCGAATCTCTGATCCTTTGGTCAAGGGCATATGCCTTAACCAGTTGAGCAATGCTCATGTTGACGTCATTATAATCTCTAATCTATGGTCTTCAAGAGATTAGGTAGATGGTAATATCCAACCCAAAGAACCCATAAGGAGATATTGTTCGGTATACTACACTGGTTGTAGAACGAGTTAGACGTTGATTTGTAAATGCTTAAATGTATCACCACTTGAGCTACTTTTTGAGATAAAAAAAAAAGCCCATTCCAATCATATAGTTAATCAAACTTCAAACCGAGCTACCATACATGTCCATTCCACAGCCCCGCAAATGCATCATCGATGCCAGTGATACTATTTTCTTTTGCTCTAGAAATGAGATTATGTTCTTCCTTTTGAACCACATCTAGATGTTTTTTGATGTTTTGTCTGGGCTTAAGATCAACAAGAGAAATGTTAAATTAGGAGGCTCAATTGCGATGAGGAGAAGCTCAAGAGTTGGGCGGAGGTGGCGGGTTGTGAAGTTCGATCCTTTCCCTCCTCTTACGTGGGTCTCCCTCTTGGGAGTAATCCCAAATCCATCTCCTTTTAGAATCCAATGGTGAACAAAGTTATGAAAAGTTGGTCTCCTGGAAGAAATTTTTTTCCCTCTAAAGCTGGGAAACTAACTTTGATTCACTCTGTTCTAAGCGGTATTCCTATTTACTATTTCTCCTTTTTTTAGAGTTCCATGCGCGGTTTGTACAAATATTGAGCACATTTCAGAAAGATTCTTGTGCTTGTGCTTCAATCGATGTATCTAACATTTGGCCTGTGAGAACAAGGCTGGTAAGAACATAACTCACACGCATATCTAATGAATCACAAAATGTACTCCACCGATCAATAAACCCCGCGTTCACGATTTTTTTTTTTTTTTTTTAACGTTCAGAATTCAAACCAATGAGATTCGTAAGGAATTAAAACACGTTTTTCACAAAAGAAATGCGGCAAACGATCACACACGCGATACAGACGACCAGGAAAGCAACCTAAACTAAGAAATAAGACATACAATGAACATTCCAATTTCATCGTCCAGAATTTTCCAAAAACCAAGCAGGATCCAGAATCAACTTCAAATTAAAAACAACAAAATGATAATCGAGAAGGAGAGAGCACCTGGTAAACATAAGGCTGAAATGGCGTTGAGAAGAACGGAGCAGCCATATCCAGAAAACACTACAATTAAAAAATACTAGCGATCGAAATCGAACAGAAGAGCTCCAGTCCAAAATCTACGTCACCATTAATGCGGCCGAGTGGCAATTACGGGAGGAAAATTGAAGAAGAAGTTGAATTGAAACAGACCAGCTTCTTTTCCTATCTTCTCTTTTGGGGGAAATTTAGGAGCAGCTAAACTACTTAAGTAACCTTTCCGCCAAATATTGCAAACTAACGCAGTTTCGCTATGACTTATGTGTCAATTAATAGACAAATTAGGATTTTATACTTTTCCTGGCCTACGCGAATCCATGGTGGAGCCCACGTGGAGTAAGCTGATAACGTGGCGTTTTTTCATTGGTTACATTATCAGTCCTCCTAAGTGTTGTTCGATGACACGTAATAAAACAGGGCCGCGATGGCAAACGTGTTTGGTCTGATTATACGACGTCGTTGGTGCTTCAGCCTACTGGGCCTTGTTTACAGTATCTTATGAGCCAGCGCATGATCTGTAGAGATGTATCGGCGCAGGTTAGTGTCTTTAATTAATTCCCCGTACATATTTAATATAGCCCTACTACTTTTTATTCGGTTAATAATTATTTAGTTTTTAATTTTTTTAATTTTTTTGGAATTATTTAAGTCTATAAATACTACTCCTATCAATGAGTTTTTATCAAATCTTTTTAAATATATTTTTCAAAGTTATCTAAAAATTCCAAACATGGTATAATTAATTAAATTAAATCACCCTAATCAAAGTAATTAACTTTAGAATGCAAAACTCCGACATTTGTGTCTGTTGTTCACATTGGATACTCACAAACTTACCTCTAATTATAGTTTGCAAACAGTTAATATTGTCAGTTTCACACACAAGCAAAGGGTTATTAACCTTGATTATGTCTAAACTTTAAGTGAATCACTTTAGGCACAATTTTTGTTTATTTTATAATTTTCAAACATTAAATTTGTTTATTTTGTTTTCTTAGTTGAATAAAGTCCGGGAACTGTGGAGATTTAAATGAAGTGTGAGAAAGGAAGGAACACCAATTATTGCAATCTCGCATGATCAATTATGTTATCTTATTCTGCAAACCAAAAACATTTATGCTTTTAATCTCAGCTTACAAAACCCTAATTCACTCACACTCGACCTATTAAAGAAAACATCGATTTTTCTAACCGCTCATGGACTACTGCTAGCATTTATTTTCCGCTTCGACTTATTATCTATGAAGTGTCCACTATGAAAATATTTTAGTCTTACTGACTATTATCTCTCATTGACGTCTATCGCTAGCAAATATTATCTGTTTTGGCTCGTTATGTATCGATGTCAGTCCATGGTTTTTAAAACATGTCTGTTATGAAGAAGTTTCCCTGCTCTTCACTCTACAACCAACGATCTCTCATCAAACTAGCTTAGAAATGGCTCTCTCTCTCTCGTCTTTTATCTCTGTTTCTGTGAAAGTGAGAGGATGATGCTTTTTGGAAGGCAATAAGAGCAGGGCCAATTATTATGTCTGGTAGAGCAAGATTCTGATTGCTTAAAAGGGACTTATAAAACCCTTCAACTCAAGTAATCAACATATTTGGAGAGCCACAATCTCGATGCCACTGCTACTCAACAAACATATTTCTCTTCACTTTCCCTTCACGATCAAACCAACCATTCCTTTTATATCTCTTTTGCCTGATTCACACCGGCAGCCACCACCACCACCACCCCGTCGTCTCCTTACTTCGACCTCCCATGGCTGCCACCGTCGCATCGGTTTTCGTATACAGGTATGTTCCATAAACAAATTCAGAGCTTTAGATTCTCACCCTAGTTTTTCAGCTTCCTTCTATGTCTGATCAATTTCAAATGGGAGAGGCCCATTTTCTTAGTAATCTCTTCGTTGAAAATGCATTATACAAATTTATTACAAAATGCATTAAGTTAATGCTGAATTATGCATGCTAATTATGCTACATTTGAACATTTTCAGGTTGTCGTTTTCTTTTAATCATAACTTCTTATTATTAATCTTTCATTATATAAATCTTAAGTTCAGTATATAATAGTAAAATGTACCGTTAATTTCAAGTTGAGCACAAAATATAATTTAATGATGCCATAATATTTTCTAATTTTCAAAATTGTACTATTTGATTTCCAAAGCCTGAAAAATACGTTTACTGAAAATAAGAAAGGTATTTTAAAAGTGTTTTTTTTCTTTCTAAATACTAGAAAGATTACAGTTTCATTTGAAAATGCCGATCTATCCAAAATGATTTTGTTTTTTAATCTTAAATTCATTCTAACTTGTTAGAACTGAACTTCAAATTACAACATTAAAAACAAACTCCAGAGTTACGTATCGCCATCAGTTTCACGATTTTAAAACGCGTCTGGTAGGAAGAGATTTCCACACCCTTATAAGGAATGTTTCGTCCCTTTCTCCAACTGATGTGGATCTCATAATCCACCTCCTTGTGAGCCAGCATTCTCGCTAGCACATTGCTAGGTGTCTAGCTCTGAACCATTTGTAACCGCTCAAGCCTACCACTAGTAGATATTGTCCACTTTGGCCTGTTACATATTATCATCAACCTCACAGTTTAAAAACGCGTATACCAGAGAGAGGTTTCCACGCTTTTATAAGGAATGCTTCGTTCTCCTCTCCAACCAATATGGGATCTCACGATTCACCTCTCTTAGCTGTGCAACGTTCTCGTTGGCACACCGCCCGATGTCTATCTCTGATACCATTTTTTGTAACCGCCTAAGTCTACCGCTAGTAGATATTGTTCGTTTTGACTCATTACATATCGCCGTCAGCCTCACAGTTTTAAAACGCGTCTAGTAGGAAAGATTTCCACACTCTTACAACCAATGCCTCCTCCCCAACTAACATGAGATGTCACATAATTCATTAGAAATCTATTGAGAGAGATAATTGTAGTAGTTAAAGATAGTTAAAGATAGGAGAGAGAGAGAGAGAGAGGGAGAGATTGAAGAGATGAATGAAATTTGTTGAATATGGAACAACATGGGAAGGCCGAGTTGGTCCTTTGCATGCAATATTTGAATATGAAACAAACGGAAAAAATACATTCAAACACACTGAGTTTGTTACCAATTAACACTCAGATCCAATATCATGGACAACCAAATCCATGTCAAAATTATGATATATATCTTCTAACCTAATAATAATAATTTCCCTATAAAACTAGTTTATATTTTTATATATGTTATTAATATATTAATCAATACTCTATGGATCATTAAAATCCAGCAATAGTTGTGTTCATTTTTCCATCCTTATTATGTACAGCAACCTCATAATATCATTAATATTGGCTTTTTCTCCACTCAACTGTACTTCCTATAATTAGTATTTTGTATATTTTTCTTTTCTGGGACGCACACACCACGTAGAAATAAATTCCCTCTTCACTTCCACATATCCACTTGGTGACTCGACGGCGATGCCCGGGCAAACTCCGGCGCTATATCTTTATGTTCACACTCCGCCCCGGCGGAGCTCGGGGGCACTTGAAATATAGCACCATCAGAATAGTTGGGTTGCTTCAAATCTTGATCGTTGCTGAGCTGAGAAGCCACAAATTTTTCCATTACTCTCCAATCTGTCACGTGATCCATTGCGTGCTCCATGCCATACAGCGGGGCGAGGGCGGTGTCTCGGTCATAGGCGTAAGGGAGGAGAGAGTTGGCGGTGGGGACAGAGGACGGGGGAAGTTTTGGGCTCTCGAGATGAGGGAGTTGGAGGAAGACGGGGTCGTGCGGCGGCGCATGGAAGTGCAACTCCAGCTCTTGCTTGCAGGGATAAGAAGGGTGGCGAAAGATTTGGTTGGTCGGGGACTCGAGCTCCGGCATGAAGGAGACTTGGTCGTCGTACCAGCACGGCGAGCCATAGTCGCCGCCCTTTCTCACTGTCGGCATCCTCTTCTTGAAAACCCTGCAAACAACCCATCCTTCCTCCTGGTACATTGCCAAATTTATTGAAGGAGTTGTATTAGTATAATATGGAATTTGTATGAATGTTCATGTATGACTCATGTACCCAAAAAAATCATTTATTTCAATTGGGTTATGCATAACTTCCCTCATCATTATGATCCATCCTTGATTACATGTTCATGGAAATTAAAGAAACATGTGTACAAACATATCCAAATATAGTGGGACACAGCTACTAGGTATTGTCATCTTTACGCGTTTGCTAGAAACACGTTTTTATACCCATCTCACAACAAACAGTTGTTAAGAATCCTGACTATCTACAATGGTATGATATTGTCCACTTTGAGCATTAGTTCTCATGACTTTGTTTTGGGCTTTCTCAGAAGGCCTCGTACGAACGAAAATGTATTCCTTACTTATAACACTCATGATCATTTTCTAAATCAGACAGGGTGAGACTCACTCCCGGTTCTAAACAAATTAACTTTGTTTTTCATCCAAAATAGTAAAAAAGGTAAGAGAGTTACCTGAGGAGTTGCATTTTCATTAGTTTCGAGTCTATATTCGTGCATTATCCAATCTGATTTTTGTCCATTAGGAGCTCTTCCTTTATAGAAGACTAAGGTTTTTCTCATCCCAACCAAACAATGTCGAGCATAAATAGCTTTGTCTCTTCCAGTTGCTTTCCAAAACCCAGCTTTAGTAGCTCGGTTTGTGCGTGTTCCTGTCGGATACTTCTTGTCTTTGTGGCTAAAAAAATACCATTCATTCTGATCTTCACTTCCGGCCAGCTTACATAGTTCTACACAAAAACAAAAACAAAACAATCCTCAATATTAGGACAAAAAAAAAAGTTCCTTTAGAGGGTATTCCAAAGCATTAAAACCTTGAAGATCCCATGGCTCGATTCTGTAAAGGTCAACATCTTTGATGATATCCAAATCAATTCTTTTGGAAGCAACCTTCTTCCTCAGGTAATAATCAACCAATTCTTCATCTGTTGGGTGAAACCTAAAGCCTGGGGGAACATGTGGAATACAGTTCATATTCACTTCTGATGGATCCACTTCACTTACAAACCCTGCATGGATTATGATAACACAAATTATATTAATTAACCCAAATAATCAAAGCATGAGCTTCAATTCTCTTGGGATAATCAAGGTTGTTTGAAAGTAATCATAGCTTTAAATACTAAACCAAACCCTACCAAAAGATGGAAGCAATCGAGTAGCAAGCAAATTAAACTCAAAATGATGCTCAAAAACGCACACATTCATAGCTTAACGTTTTCGCCTGGTTAGGTTAAATTTGCGACGTGAAAATAATAACGAAAAAACCATTGTTAGGAATCATAGCTCTCCAGAATGATATGGTATTGAAGCTCTCATGGCTTTGCTTCAGATAGTATTCCTTAGTAGCGAATATGGGACTCACTCCCAATAATCCTCGACCACCATCTTCCCATAAATTGAGAAAAATAATAAGAATTAGGAAGGTATGTTGTAAACATGATCATGTCTAGTTCCTTAAACATAGACCCATAAGAAAGAAGTGAAAGAATGATATGAAGAAGAAGAAGAAGAAGAAGGAAGAAGAACCTGGTGGAGTTTTGAAAGTTGCAAAAGGCGTATGCAATGGCGTGTGTTCCTGTGTGGGGGTGTGTTATGTTTGTTGTCGTCCCTGTGTGGAGGGAGAGAATTGAGATGCCGAGAAGAGGAAAAGTAAAGGAGATGGAGGGAATGGAAAAATGGAGGGGAGAAAGGGTTAAATAAGAAACCCAACCCATTTATGTGCTTCTTCTTCTTCTTCTTTTATTTTTTTTTATGTTTTTAAAAAATGTGGGGAGCTTGATTGCTACAAAAGCTTGGAAAGCAATAAAAAAGGGTGGCGCTAAAATGGCTCATCTCACAACCAGCAACCTCTTACAACACACCCACCACCAACTGATGTAGACTATAAATAAAACACAATCTTTTTTTTTTTTTTTTTTTTTTTTTAAT